CCTCCATCTCCTGCCTCCTACTTCCTGGTTGGTCGTCCTGCCTCCTACTTCCTGGTGTGTCCCTCCCTCTTCCTGCCTCCTACTTCCTTGTTGGTCCTTCATAACTCCTACTTCCTGGTTGGTCCTTCCTGCCTCCTACTTCCTGGTTGGTCCTTCTGCCTCCTACTTCCTGGTTGGTCCCTCCCTCTTCCTGCCTCCTACTTCCTGGTTGGTCCCTCCTTCTTCCTGCCTCCTACTTCTTGGTCGGTCCCTCCCTCTTCATGCCTCCTACTTCCAGTCTGGATGTGAACATTGTGGTCTATGGTTGTTTTTTCTTGGAAAACGAGCCATCATTCTGTTCGGCATCATTCTGTTCAGGCTTTAACCAATCAGAGTGCAGCGGCGAGCTCTACTTCACCTGCAGAAACAGGAAGTGCATCCCTGCCAGTCTGGTGTGTGACGACAAGGGCATCGACAACTGTGGGGACGGGAGCGACCTGGAAGAAAACCTAACGGCGGGCTGCAGAGGTCAGTTCAGGAAGTTTAACATATTAAAAAACATACATCGCTTTTCCCATTAGGCAGGGCAAGTTTATTTGTACATCACATTTCTGGTACAAGACAATTAGAAGTGCTTCACAGAGAATTTAAAAGCAGAAAAAAATGAAAAGAAAATGAATAAAGAATTATAACAATTAGATAGCTAAAAAGTGAAGGGTACAGATAAAATACATTCAATTTCCATATTCACAGACCCCTTTTTCCGATCCGATATCTGGATCGGATCAGCCGCCGATATTTTATTTATTTAAATTCAGACATGATAAATGACTAGGTAACACCACAGACTTGTCACCACTAGCTCCTCAAACCAGAACATATTTGAGCTGTTTTGAAAATTACTCTTGTGTTGCATATCTGAGAAGTAAAAAAATAAATGAAAATATGCAAATGGAGGTTGACTGGAGCAGAATTTATTAGATTTATTTGATTTTTTTTAGATCAAGTCAAGGTAGATGTGTGAACAAATGCACTTGTGGTGTTCTTTAGCTTTTTTAAAGCTGCCCAAACGTTTTATGGTTGCTGGTTGTATCTTTAACTCATTGACTGGCAGCCATTTTCAGAACAGAGTCCCATACTGCCAGAGTTTTTTTAGCATTTTGACTGATTTTTCTAGAGCCACAGAATAGTTTGTGCTATGACTATGTAAACACCGAACACACCAAAAGAAAGAGTAGACTCTCTTCTTTCATCAGGAAAAGAAATGTGTTTCTACCTTATTCCGTTCTTCCTGGACTTGCGTCTCACCGGCGACATGTTCTCTCATAGAACCGTTCCCTTTTTCTTATTTGCCTACAGTCTATGCTCATCTCCCATCAAAAGTGGCACTGCCCCCTAGAGGGTCAATTTGTTACTACATACTCTGTCTAGAAGCCCATATTTACGGACAAGCTTTAGCAGATCGTCCCCCAGACACTCTCGCTGAAAAACATAAAAGACCTCTATAGACGTCTTTGGCAGCCAATGAGTTAAATATCCGTCCACCATGCTAAGGCTGACCCGCCTGTCCCTCATCAGCAGGTCAGCTCTTAGCTCCAGATCCTCAGACCACCACAGAAACCCCGCTTCCCTCCTCTGGGGATGACCCAACGGGGTCCTCTCTGACCGGCAGGAGCTGTGAGGGGCCGGAGGACCCCCGGCCGAAGTCTGTAACAGGTGAGCACAATCCAGAGCTCTCATCTCTGAGTAAAACAAGGCGAGGGTTAGGGTTAGGGTTTATTTTACAGCACATTTACTGTACGAGACGATTCAAATTTGCTTCACAGACCATTTAAAAGCAGAAAAACATGAAAAGAAAATGAAAAAAATTGGACAGATAAAAAGTGAAGGGAACAGATAAAATCCATCCAGTTTCCGTCTTACAGTTAAACAGACGTTTTCATCTGGATTTAAACATTCAGAGTTGGGTTCTGTCTCACGTTTTCAGGAAGTCTGATCCAGGTTTTAGGAGCCTGGAGCTGAAATGAAGCTCCAGCTGGTTTAGTTCTGACTCTGGGCCCACATCCAAGTCGGCCATTTTGATTAGGTCATGTGACTAGCAGCTTTCTGAGGTGGAAACGAAACTTTACTGTCGATACGAAATAGGAAGACAAACAATGTCCTAAACCTAACCCTGACCCTAACCCTAACCCTCCACCCTTCATTATTTTTGGTTAAACTTGTTTGGACTTATTGTACAAACCTATTTAACATCCACTATTTTAACATAATATTATGGAGTTTAATTCAGTGTTTGCAAGATTCATTTAACTATTTTTAAATTAATGTCTATATTGCCATGAAGCAATTAGGATTTTCTTGCCTGGGATCTTCCTATTGGTGACATAATCAAAATGGCCGACTTGGATGTGGGGGAGTTGTGTATCCATCCTTGGCTTCCTGCAGGTTCTAGAGGTTTCCCTGCTTCTACACACCTGATTCAGATCAAACTGGTCTCTTCTAAAGATGCTTCAACTAGGTTGTTCCCGATCCGATAGCATTAGCATCTGTAACCACAGGTCTGTGTCCTAACCATTAAGTTGTTATCAGAGCATTAGCATTAGCTTTAGCATCTGTAACCCACAGGTCTGTGTCCTAACCATTAAGTTGCTATCAGAGCATTAGCATTAGCATTAGCATCTGTAACCCACAGGTCTGTGTCCTAACCATTAAGTTGTTATCAGAGCGTTAGCATTAGCATTAGCATCTGTAACCCACAGGTCTGTGTCCTAACCATTAAGTTGTTATCAGAGCATTAGCATTAGCATTAGCATCTGTAACCACAGGTCTGTGTCCTAACCATTAAGTTGTTATCAGAGTAAATCCCTGTTCAACATGAGTCTGACAGCTAAGTAAGTAGATAAATAACTTTAGACTATAATATAAGCTCTGATAGGCCGGGATCGGATAGGGAAGTGCAAATACAATAGCAATTAGGATTTTCTTGCCTGGGATCTTCCTATTGGTGACCTACTCAAAATGGCCGACTTGGATGTGGGGTAATTGGATCTCAGCAGAGTCCCTGTCTGTCTTCAAGAAACTCTTGAAGACCCACCTC